AAAAAAAAAAAAAAGACTGGGAAGCACCTCGCCTGCCAAATGAGCTGGAAAAGGCAGGTCTGATGCTAAAATCATTGCCACCATGGAGCTGGGATTCAGCTATCTTCCTTTCCTCTACCACATAGGAAACAGTGAGGGAGAAAGTCATACATTATTCTGATTGCTAGTAGAAAGTGCTTCCTGAATAGCCTGCTTGTAACGCTGCTGTAGGTGTGAGTCCTTCATTTTGCTGGGCTTGAATTCTGCACCCTTCTCTCAATCCTGTGAGTTCCTACTTCTGTTGCCTTCTGACTCCTTATTGTAGCATAATCTCATAAAAAAATCCAAGTCCACCACTAGATAGTATATGACTTTTCTCTTTCTAGGAAAAAACCCTCCAAATGATAACTTGAAACTGCATAGAAACAAAACATAACTCACTCTTTTATAATTCCTGAGTGCAGAATAATAGGAAATAAGAGTGTTAAAATGAAAATGCAGGAGGTATGCTGCTAGCAAGTAGCACAGCTAGAGGAATAGAAGGTAACTGTTCTTAAGACCTTTTTCAAGTATTCCACGTCTCAGTGAGATTTGGACGGGCTTCTTTTACTCTAGCATTTCAAATAAAGTCCCTTGGCAAGTGCATATGTAGTTCAGATTTCACCCCAGGGTGCCCAGAAAATATTCTGTAAGATGTAGGCTTATATTCTTTGGGCTTACAGGGAACGAGTCTAGTTCCTTATGGTCATGATCAGCAGAGCTGTAAGCACCTGATGTAAATTATGTCTGGAAGGCACCAGTATTTAAATATTCAGTCTTTACTCTGTCAATAGACTTGAGTGAACATGCTGATTTTTTTTTTAAAGGATCTGCAGTTGAGACCTCACTTAAATCTCTTAACTTTGTTGTAGTGGCCAACACGTCACCAACACTTCCCAGTCAGTATTTATAAGGTTAAAGGGTATCTAGAATATACATTACATGGCAGATTTCCAGAGCTGAGGGGTCTCTAATTACGGTCTATATTCTAATTAGTCTTACTCTTAACCTAGCTTTCCCCCCCATATTATAAATTTTAGCATGTGATCAAAGGAAATAAACAGATCTAAACAAAAATTTATATGTAAACATATATCACAGCTTGTTTACATGGACTGCTGGGAAGAATTTCTCTATAAAGGGTACGAATAGTTGTTTTCTGAAAACAGCTGCTTAGTTTTTATGTGAAATCTTAGAACTATTTGTGTTTTCCTTTGTGTTTTGGCTGTTAGAAGACTAAGAATCAAATGTGTGGGGGTGCCTGGATGGCTCAGTTGGTTAAGCATCCTACTCTTGATTTCGGCGCAGGTCATAATCTCTCAGTTTATGAGATTGGAGCCCTGTGTCTGGCTCCACGCTATGATCGCAGAGCCTGCTTAGGACTCTGTCTCTCCCTTTCTTTCTGTCCCTTCCCTGTTCGCTCTCTCAAAAATAAATAAATGTTAAAAAAATAATTTCTTTAAAAAAAAAGAATCAAATTTGTGGTCTGTCTCTGCAAGCATATAAACATGGACACACACACACACACACACATATACATACAATAGCATGGATGAACCTTATTGTTTGATTCTTCATTATCCTTTGGTCCTGAAAAGTTATGTAGATTTCAGCTAGAGATTTTTTTCAGAGGGGCATTCTGAATGTTTTACCCAGCATATGCCATGATAAGTCTCCCAGAAATCCCCTAGAATAGCTGCTCAGATGTTTCAGTTGCCCTTATTCAGCTGGTGGGTTTTCTTACCTCCTCTGCTATTTCTCTTCTGCTTTCTTCTTCTGGGTTCTGTGCAAGCTTAGGCTTTGGCTGCCTCCCTACTGATACGGTCCCTGCACTGCATAGCCCCTGGACATGGAATTATTTCCCCCTCTTTCTCAGTGACTGCTTTTCTTGAAAAAATGTTAATAACTAAAATTCTCTGCCTCATCAAGATATGAGAAAGAATATTCATATCTTTTCTAACTCCATAGTAGAAAAAAGGAAGTACTGTAAATTTGACTTAGAACTTAAGGAAGCCTCCTGGATTGATGCTTGGGGTTCATTTCTTTCAGGTTTGTTTGATGGTTTGAGTTTAATATTCTTAAAATTTGTCCTTTTTTTTTTTTTTAGGTGAATGTTGGATGTGTACCCAAAAAGGTAGAATTTTTATTTCTTCTTCCACACTCCTTTCACATATTTGATAAAGCAATGCATTGATTTATTTCTTTTGAGTGAGTGAATGAGATTATATCTAGGTCTAGTAGTTAGGACTGGTGGTCTGCACAGAATTGTTTTTTCTCAATCTAAATTACTGTAATGGAATCTTCTAAAGTATTCTTATTCAGTTCTGTAGCCTCATGGATTCGCTTAACTGTGGTGATATTTGCTCCTAGTATCTGTGGTACAGAGATTACATTGAATGAACTTGTCCTTTACCTGTGACGAAGAGGAAGAAATGGCAGTTCTTATTTCCAAAGCTGCATCTTGCTTATACTTGCAAATAATTTTACTCCATATTTGAATGTACTTTCAAAACATGTTATAATCCCAGATGACAACCTTTTGTTACTGAGATTACATTCTAAATTGGTGTTTTTTTGGTAACAGGTAAGCAAATATTCCTAATCTCATCAGTGACACATAACAGAGAGTAATTCCAGGAGGGTTTTTTGTAATCTGTTCCCTAGTGTGGGTAGGTGTTTTTTAATCATAGGAAAGTTTCCTTTTTGCTGTGGGACAGTTCCTCAGTTATTTTTTTTTCTTAGTCTTAGATTTTGGAATCTGTTCTAATTGAAGTCATGCAGTTATGATATATGAATTATGTATATCAGTTATAAGGTGGTTTTATATAGTTTAAACCAGTTAGGTAGTTAATCCATTAATAGGCACTACCTCATTATTTAAAAATATTACCTGGGAATAGTGGCCTGAATTTGTAATATTTTGTTCCCATATATTAAAAACATTTATTTATTTATTTATTTATTTATTTATTTATTTATTTATTTATTTATTTTTGAGAGAAAGAGAGAGAGAGACAGGGGAGAAGCAGAGAGGGAGACACAGAATCCGAAGCAGGCTCCAGGCTCCCGAGCTGTCAGCACAGAGCCCAATGCAGGGCTTGAACTCACAAACCATGAGGTCATGACATGAGCTGAAGTTGGACGCATAACTGACAGAGTCACCCAGGCGCCCCTGTTGCCATATATTATGTTTCATTTATTCCTTCTATTATGATCACATGTGCAGGACATTTACCTTATATTTTCATAGGGCTCTACTGACTTCAAAGTGCTTTTGCATTCTTAAAGATCAGTTGGTAATTGCCTCTTGTTTTCTAGAACAGGTTGAAGCCTAGAGTAACTTCTCTCCAGGAGGGTAGAGTGGGGTAGCAGCACAGAAGGAATCAGATGGGTAGGTCTGCTACTACCCTCATTAGGATGAGCCTAGAAGCCCAATGTGGTTCATATACAACACCTTCTCCACAGAGTGTTTGAGGCTATAGCATCATACATAATACAAGTTGGAAGTAAATAAATATTGCCCCTCATGAGAAGATGAGGTATAGTGATGTTTCTTTTCTTTAAAAAATGTTTTGTTTAATGTTTGTTTGTTTGTTTATTTTGAGAGAGAGAGCGAGAGCAGAGAAGGGGCAGAAAATGAAGGAGACAAAGGATCCAAAGCAGGCTCCGAGCTTACAGCAGAGAGCCTGATGCAGAGCTTGAACTCACGAACTGTGAGATCATGACATGAGCTGAAGTTGTACGCCCAACTGACTGAGCCACCCAGGCGCCCCTATAATAATGTTTCTTAAAATAACCTATTTTATTTTGTAGTACTAAGAAACCTTTCATGTGCATTAAGATAGACCATCTAGCAGATAAAATGGTTAATGCTATATTAAATGAGTTTCACCTCAATTGAAAAATAAACAGGGTGCCTGGGTGGTTTGGTGGGTTAAGCATCTAATTCTTTCTTCGGCTCAGTCCATGATCTCACAGTTCGTGAATTTGAGCTCTGCATTGGGCTCTGGGCTGACAGCCGGAGCCTGCTTGGTATTCTGTCTCCATCTCTCTCTGCCACTCTCCCATTTGCTCTTTATCTCTCAGGATAAATAAAAATAAACTTAAAAAAAAAAAAAAAAAACAGAATCCAGCAGGGCCATCAGTTCTTCATTTTTAGGCATAAAGAGAGAACGGTACAAAGAAGGAATCAAAGACTTGTCAAAAATGGAGTCTCGGGGCGCCTGGGTGGCGCAGTCGGTTAAGCGTCCGACTTCAGCCAGGTCACGATCTCGCGGTCCGTGAGTTCGAGCCCCGCGTCGGGCTCTGGGCTGATGGCTCAGAGCCTGGAGCCTGTTTCCGATTCTGTGTCTCCCTCTCTCTCTGCCCCTCCCCCATTCATGCTCTGTCTCTCTCTATCCAAAAAAAAAAAAAAAAAAAAAAAAAATGGAGTCTCAGGCTTGTCTGACAAAGAAAACTGATAGTTTGTCATATAGAGTTCTGGATGCTATCTTGTATTCTGTTACCTTGATGATGAGTTGGCATAAAAGGCCTTTACAGATTTCAGGCTGCATTCCACAGAAATGTGCAACAAATCTTTGAGTTCCAGATGTCTAATTACACACATCATTACAAGGACATGTTCATAGGTACTGAGTATGTGATAGGGATTTATTCTCTTAAGGTTTTCAGTCCTCATCTTTTTCTCAGAGCATCTTCTAAATTACTTTAAAGCTACAGATGCAGTTCAGTTTCCTAGCACCAATCACAAAAGACAGGGCTTCAGGAAGTCTGAAAGTTAAAAAGAGGGTGTAAGCAGTAATAAATTTTACTGGAAGGACTATGAGTCTTATAACATCCTGCTTTTATAGAGTTTATAAAATAGGGAGTTAATAGAAGTAATATCCCCCAACATTTCAGTAGCCTCCCTATAAAACCTGTCTGGTCATATTTCTGAACTTTCTCTTTTAAAATGTTTACTTTTGTTTTTATTTTAAAATTCAGTATTTTTATCTGCTTTTATGTGGTTACCTTTTGTGCATGATTTCTTTTTTTCCTCAGGACTCATGCACTACTGTTGTTGCGGGATTTTTTTTTTTTTTTTACAGGTAATGTGGAACACGGCTGTCCATTCTGAATTCATGCACGATCATGTTGATTATGGCTTTCAAAGTTGTGAGAGTAAATTCAATTGGCGGTAAGTGTTAATGCTTAGAGGTTCTGTTTACCAATATTAATATTTTTCTTTCATAATTAAATGAGCCATAAACTTTTTTGGGAGGATGTTCTGTGGTAAAGTATATAAAACATAAGCTTTTGGAGGTGATGGCTATATTTGTGGCCTTAATTGTGATGATGGTTTTAGAGATATATACTTATCTCTAAACTCACCGAGTTATATATAGGAAATATGTACTGTTTTTTGTATGTCAGTCGTACCTCAATAAAATGGTTTTCAAATACACAAAGTCCATTTTAGCTATTTTTAAGTTGTCAGTACAGGGCCATTAAGTTATACTCATAGTGTTGTACAGCTATCACCACCATCCATTTTGAGAACTTTTCCACCATCCAGAACAGAAACAATGTATTCATTGAACAATACCTCCTCAGCTCCTCCCCCCAGCCCCTGGGATCACTCGTGTACTTTCTGTCTCTATGAATTTGCCTGTTTTAGGTACTTTGTATGATATTTGTTCTTTTACCCCCGGCTTATTTCATTTAGCATAATGTGTTCAGAATTCATGCATGTTGTGACATGTTTCAGAGTTTCATTCCTTTTTAAGGCTGCATACTAGTCCCTTGTGTGCATACCACATTTTGTCTATTCATTCATCCTTCAGGGGACTTCTAGGTTGTTTTCACCTTTTATCTACTGTGAATAATGCTTGACCTACAAATCCCTGGTTTCATTTCTTTTAGGCCGGTACCTAGAAATGAAATTGCTGGGTCAAATGGCAATTCTGTGTTTAACTTTTTAAGGAACTGCCATAAACATGTAGAAGCCATCAAATTTTCAGAATTTTAGCAAAATCATTCATTTATTCAACAAATATTTATTGAGTGGCCACCAAGTACTTAGGCACTGTGCCAAAGCAGCTGTCCTTATCTTCTTTGCAGAAAAACATTTACATATTGTGGGTGCCTACCGAACATTCTCCTTGGAGTAGAATGAGGGTTCTCTGCGTTTGGCAGGGGAAAGGGGTGACTGCCTTCAGAGATACTCACTCATGGGGTTCTTATTGACTCTTCTGTGTGTGTGTCATTCTCTGCTGATAGGGGCGTTCAGGGACAGGTGCCCTACTCACTAACTGAAAGAAGAGAATTTTGTTTCTCAGTACTGACTTAAGTTTCATTACAGTGTTATAAAGGAAAAGCGTGATGCCTATGTGAGCCGCCTGAATACCATCTATCAAAATAACCTAACCAAGGTGAGTGTGCTGGGAACTCTGAAGAAGGAGCTATTCTTTGTTGGAGTATGCTACTAATCTGACCAGACAAAAACGCAACCTTCACACAAATCTCTTGTTTCTTTTATTTCTTTTGCAATTAATGATTTTAGGTTGACCTGCCAGAACAGAAGTGTATGTCTCAGTAAGCCAGTCTTTTTTCTTTTTTCTTTTTTTTTAAATTTATTTATTTTGAGAGAGACTGAGTGCAAGTGGGGAAGGGGCAGAGAAAGAGACAGAGACAGAGAATCCTAGGCAGGCTCCGTGTAGTCAACATGTCAAGCAACGCGGGGCTTGAACCCACAAAACTGTGAAATCATGACCTGAAATCAAGAGTCGGACACTTAACTGACTGAGCCACCCAGGCACCCCTGGCCAGTCTTTTTTCTACAGAGCGGGCAGTGCATGCTATGATTGGTGGACCAGGTGTCACAGCATGGCTGTACCTTGAGTAGGTCTGGCCCTCCAGTTAGTTCCAGAAACCAAAAACACAAGAGACTGATGTACACAACAATATGCTAGTTAATTCATTAAAATCAGAAATACCGTCTGGCTGGAAAGCTGTCGTTCATTTGTTCACAGCAACCTCGTCCTTGGTGGCTAGATCTGCTCAAGAGACCAAATTATGGTTCAGACAGTTGCTTCTGTGAATGAAGTCTGATTACTTTGCCTAAAAACACTGGGCAAGGGTGTGTTTGCCTTTAGCAAATCTATATGGTCCTTTGTTAGTCTGAGGCTTTTTCTGCTTTAGTGCTTAGGTGTCGTACTTCTTCAACTCGGGACTGCTGGTGGCATTGATAAATGGTGCACCTTCCAGCTGTGCTTTTTCTTGACAGCATATTTCCCACCACCCTTTGTTTGCCTTTGCAGTTTCACGTTGCAGTTTCTAAGATTTCTGCACAGCTTGGATTATATTTAAATCTGTAGATTCTTAGTGATACTTGGGCCACCATAGTCCCATGGCAGCATGTTTATAAATCAATTTTTAGGATGAGTTACTTCTATAGATAGCTAACCTCATATATTTTTAAGTCAATTCTTATTCATTAGGTTTATTTTTTGGAGGGTGATATTTTCTGACCTTAGTCCCCAATTCAAGGGAGAAATATTTGGGGCCTTCAGTGCCCTCTACACTGGTGACAAGAGATTTTAAGGCTGTAAGACATGAGCGTAGAGGTACCACTCACTATACTAAAACATCCACATCAATTTTTTATTTTTTATTTTTTATTTATTTTTTCAACGTTTATTTATTTTTGGGACAGAGAGAGACAGAGCATGAACGGGGGAGGGGCAGAGAGAGAGGGAGACACAGAATCGGAAACAGGCTCCAGGCTCTGAGCCTGACGCGGGGGTCGAACTCCCGGACCGCGAGATCGTGACCTGGCTGAAGTCGGACGCTTAACTGACTGCGCCACCCAGGCGCCCCAACAATGTTTATTTTCATTTCCTAAGATATTTGACAGAAGGTTTCCTTTCCTCTTCAGAATTTCTGCATCAACTGTAAGTAATTCGTTTCCCATAAGGTCACACATAGTTAAGTTCTACGACACCAAGATTTGTTTTGTTTTGTTTTTTGCTGTTTTCTGAGTGATTTTCCTGTTTCTTCTGCAAAAGTATTTTAGCTTGCTCCATTTAAAAAAAAAAAAAAAATTGGGGCGCCTGGGTGGCGCAGTCGGTTAAGCGTCTGACTTCAGCCAGGTCACGATCTCGCGGTCCATGAGTTCG